ACCCGATGGAGCAATCGATATCGAGGGGAGGAGGGAGCGAACACTATACTAGCACTCGGAGCCTTCCCTATCGGAAAAGTCAGAGCCACCCCTAGAATGTAGGAAGGAGTACCTATGTTCTGCCTCCGCAGCAGCCAGTAACTCATGCTTATCCACCGCATACTAATACCCCCTTCCTGGCCTCTATTCCACCTCCTTTCCTTTTTCTCCTACTTCCACGCCCCATCTGAATCGCCCTCAATCCTGATCATAATTTGATCATACCTGGACTTTCTCTACTGTCTCCTTGGTTCTCGCGATGCTACCTGCACTGCTGGGGCCGGAACCATTTCTGGCCGCAGCGGCCCTCCCTCTCCTCTCCTCATCCTCACCCACAGGCAAATTTGATCCAACGCCCTCCCCGGCAACCCTAGTCTGGTCTCCATCGGAGGAATTAATCACTGCAGGTTCATCGACATCACCCTAGTCCCTCTGCCATCTCATACGCCCTCCGCCCGTCAATGACTCTCCCATGCCGGCCTGCACATGCTCGCCCTCAAAAGTGGTAATTGCCCTGCGTTCCGGCAACATTCGGAAAACTCTACCTGACCCTGCGAGTGCGTGATCTCAAAGCTCGGAATTGGCATGCTCTGAATCAAGTTGGACACCGGCATCCTTGGTTATTTGGTTGGAGATCTGGTTGAGAGCAAGCGGGGGAGGAGAGGCCGTTCTCCGGAAGAGGATCGCGTGAATTCTGATCTCTACATGTGATATAATGCCGGGTTTGAGATTGGTGAAAGCGACGTCCTCCCCAGAGGCCGGAGGCTGGAATGGTGCGGAGTCGGTGGGGCGGGGTCATTCTAAGAAGCTTGAGTTACTCGCTTCAGAGCGGGTCGGGAGCCGAAGGGAGGACAGCAAAATTGTAGGCACGATTGGGGGTAAGATTTCCAGGCATATAACGATCCCGTAGCAATTTCCGGGGGGTATTCAAGGAGATGGAATTCCGAAGAGGTGTGCCATTAGAGATGGACCACACAAGATGTCCTGTCAAGCTTCCAGGCTTTGGCTCTACTGCCATATCGGTCGAGGATCGATCTGGAAGAGAATCCTGTGCGGCAGGTATGAGGAAATAGCAGCGAGCGCGGTTCGAGGACGAGGTTCGGCTATTCAATGGGGGGGACCATTGGGATACTGTGCACTAATGTGAAGAGTATGTTTCTCACCAGACATCAACATCGGTACCGTACCCACTCAAGATATTCTATGGTTTCGTGGTGTAGTTGGTTGAACACCAGACGACCATTGAAAAATGTCCAATTCTCTCCCCCCTAATCTTAACTAAGCCCTTTCGTGGGGGCCGAGAGGCATCCCCTCATAGACCAAGCGATTATATAAAGAGCATGATACGACAATGTCGCATATACCAAATCTAGCTGCAACAACGAAGAGTAAATCCTTGCAACATTGTCCCGTCCACGACATTGTCCTGTCATACTCTTTATCTCCCATCCATCCCCCCCTCACCCCTCATCTCAATACTCAAAATTACACCTATCCCCCTACTCCCCTAAGTACCTAACAAATCCGACAAGGTGAGAGCGCCCCAATGCCACCATCGCACCCAGGATAACTCTCTAACAATTACAATAGAAAAAACGTTACCCCATAGCAGACAGCGCTTGGAATAGGATGATATCTATCGACTACTTGTCTCCTGAACTAGTGCTCATTATCGCCGGATACCTTAAGCCACGGGATTTACTAACCTTCATACGGGTTTCCAAGGGCTATCACCAACTCCTAGAACCGGTGGGAAGGGAAACTTACCTACGCGCTTGGATCCGTGTTTTACTAATAGTTTCTATAGTCTACGTGGCTTCAACTTCGTGAAGATGAAATCTGCAGCGCAAGGGAGCTAAACAGAGTGGTGGGGCCGGCGGGGGTCAAGANTCTAGTTTTAACAGGGGACCAATTGAGCGAAGCAGAGGGATTGGGGTCGATAATTGAAGGTGAGCATCTGGTGGAGTTTTTCTGACCAGGATTTGTTTGCGGTAGCTGATTATTATTCAGGGAATATTGCTATTTCCGGCGGGGGAGCTTTTAGGCGGAGCACGGGGGTTGTGGTCTTGGGATGTAATTAGTTGCCAATTCATTCCACCTTTACTGATCAATGTGGGGGACCCCCTAAAAGAAGTGAGGGAAGAGACTTAGCCACCAATTACAGTACGGTGCTCGTAATTCCTTGGCGTTTGTAAACATAACCGCTATTGCATATGGGCAAAAGATTGGTCAGAGCCTGAAGATTTTGATTGTATGCAATTACGGCGGTACTTGCTCAGGCTCGGGTTAAGTATTTGAGCAGTGGGAGAGAAATACAACTCCCTCCCCCCCCCATTGAACCAGCGAACTCCCTCACTTCCCCACTTTTCTGCGCTGGCAATAAGAGTCTTGTCTCTTGCTTTACTAAGCGTTATTTCTTTCCGTTTCGTTTTGCCGCTGCTGGTTTCATTTCTTTCCTGTTGCAGTTTACAACAATCTCCTAACACATGGTCCCTTTATTCTGTGGTAGGGTATTGGCGTCTGGCTTCTCAAGTTCCTGTTACGGTTTAAGGTGGGAGTGCACTTGAGTCTATGTGTCATGTGGTTTTGTGGTGTAGTTGGTATTACGCCAGTCTAACAGACTGGTGGTCTCCGGTTCGGTCCCGGTCGAAATTATTTCCTTTTTTTCCTTCTTCCTTCACAACGCCATCTACTGCATTGGCTCCAATCGGCTGCTCGTTGATTTATACGGCTGGGGAACCCTTTAACCAGATGAACGAACAACAAAAGCGAATGCGAGTGGTCATTAATACAGTTAATAGCATAGTTTATTTACACGAGTGAGAGCCTGTGACTAGTTATCCTCTCTTTTGATAATGATAATTGAAGTGGAGAAAAGGGGAAGAGAAAAAAATGAAATCCATGGAGAACCAGCCATTTCTCCAAGCTCAGACCCCCCACCACTAGCCCTTCGACGAGTTGACGTAGTAGTTAGTCTATCTTTGCACCGGCGAGGCGGCCTGCCTGAGCCCTTGTCGTGAACTATTGGGCTGCCAGGCGCTGGTTCTAGCAAACCTTTTAGCATGCCTGAGCTTTTTCCGGGAAACCGTAACAGGAGCAGAGGATTTAGTGACAACATAATTCGAGAGGGATCCCAGAAGGACACTAGGTGATGAGTTAGTTTATAATGTAATACCAACCACGTGTAATTCAGAGCACCCACCAGTCTACTGTACTTCTACCGAGGGAAACCAAGGACCACAAGTTTAGGTTCTATAAATTCGATCCAAATCATATTAGTCCGACAATCCTACACCAAGAGATAAACTACAAACTCAGGATTTCGGTGAGGTGACGCTTCAGACTCCCACAGTGAATCACGCCCACAGCGACCACGACCTGCTGCCTCGTGCCCCCCGGGAGCTTTCCCACAACCCTAGCGATCACCTCTGTCGCAACTCAACGCTCACGCTCTGACCCAGTGCCCTCCATACCCCTCTCCGAAATATCCCCAATGTTGGATAACGGGGACGCAGTTCCGGGTGTATGAGGAATGTTCATATCCGCAAGGTTGGTCTCCATGGNCGAGCCCTCCTTCATCCATTTCTCTTTCTTGTGTCCCATACTATGGTACAATACTTGAAAGCGATCTGTCTGAGTAAATACCTTGCAATCGTAGCAGATCATTTGCCACTGTTCCCCCGTCGTGACAAAACCAAACGCGATCCCTCCACCATTGTTATCTCCCATGTCTTTTAGGGCCAACATGCATTGCTTCTTTGCTTGTCCAATAGAGGCCTCCTTTGCCTCTACAACAAAGACAAACTTCTGGTTCCCGACCCCAATAACGCTCATCCCAGCAAATTCCTCGGAACCGCCAGTTTCGGAGTCTATAGGAATAATCTCTTTTTCCCTTAAGAGTTCAACTTTGTGTCCCACCTCGCATCTGAACGCCGCGAGTATGGGAAAGATCGTAAACAGAACTAAGTCGTTGAGGTTCGCTTCTTTAAAGTTTTCATCTGATTCTGTAGGATACCCTTCGACTTGAATAAATTGGACCATGTTGTTGAAAACCGTTTGCTTAATTTGCTGGATCTGATCGTTTGTGAGACCTTCGATCTGGGGCTTGGCCTGCGCCAACATCTGGCTGACAGGCATGCCTTCTTCTTCGAAGTCCCTGAATCTAAACCCGAGTCTCTTCTGGGGGTCCCGCATGCTAACCTTCGAATATGCGGTCTGGTACTTGGTTTGTTTCCCCCGAGTCTGTTGGATATTGTTGGAACAGTTTGCGGGCCATTAGAACTTTAAACCCACCGAAGTAGTTTCCTCTTCCATGGTCACCTTCGGAGATGTAGCTTTACGCCTAGGATTGGTTCGCCTCTCCTGCCAAATATTGTCACCTGGTTAGAACAGTTTGCGGGCGACAGTATTACAGCCTCCGATCATAAAAATCGGGAATGTGGAAATTAAATTTCAGAAACACGGTCGCTCAATTGGCTCGAGCACATCGAACTCCCCAACCAAAACCTCAGAGGCCGGATCTCCGTTTCCCGATTTTTTCGACTGGGGGCCGTATACACTTAAGCTTACCTTAGCAGTGCTGACCACTCTGCATGCATAGAGGACATGAGGGTGGTAGCGGTAGATGCCCGCAGGCCTGAATGCCAGCATGGTGGCAGGTCTGAACATGGTCGGCTACTGTTCACTTCCCATGAATTTAGTAAGTCAGCCTTCAGTAATACGGGTAAAAAGTCGCTATGCAGGGCCACACATTGTCGTGCTCTAATTGGCCACAATCCTTGCACGATGGCCTTGACTGCGAGTCGAGTTTGCGAGTTTTTACCGGTATGACATTAAGCAAACTTACCTTGTTATAACGGGCGATTGAAAGGGGAAAATGGACTCCCAATACCGGTAGATATGGTGTAACGTACCCGATATAGGGAGAGAAAAACAATACCGTAAAGCTAAGCTCAGGCGAGGTGAGGTGGTGATGGAATTGATTTGTTGAGAGGAAGATGCGGTTGCACTGGTCTAACAAGAGAAACAAGAAAGCGCCGTTTATGCAGAAAAATCTGCCCTCCAAGCTACAGTCGGGCCTGGCTATAACGAACAACAAAAACAAGACCCTTCACGTTCACTATAGCCAGGGATTCATTATAGTAAAGATGACTAAGAGGTCTTGGCCAAAGAGCGTAAAGGAGGGGTATTTTTTTTTTTTCCAACTGTTTGTACAAGCATTAAGAAGAGGGCAGAGTACGGAGGTTTTGCAATGATTCGGGGAAATCCAAGCAACAAAGCCATCAGCTCCAACAGCAGTGCCATGCGCCAAGGCAAGCGGAGAAGAGGTTTGACAATACTAGAGAATTACGAAATCTGTAAAAAGAGAACTGAGTCAGAGGAGAATAAGAAAATGAAATTGGAAGAGTTTGGAAAGCTGTTTCCAGGTATGTAAATGTCTCAATGAAAAAAGCATATAAGATAATAAGATACTTACAAGAATGAAAATGATGGCAGATCCAGTAACTGGTGCACCACTTTCAAAGTCAACGCTTTCGACAATATTTAACAATGGTCAGCAACATTTAAATATTGGTTTAAATACGAGCGATGACTGGAAGAAGAAAGCTCAGAGGCAACAATTTTCTATACAAGAGGCTCACATAAGCAAGCGGGGTTACCAGGCTCAGCTTGCGAGAGTAATTACCACTGGTGATGTAATTCTTGCAATAGCAAGAAAGTTTTCTTGGGAAATGGAGGCACTGCAGAGCTAGGAGGTTAGTGAAGAAGAACATTATACTGGATTTGAGTTCTCCTCTGGTTGGCTGGCAGGTTTGAAGAACCGGTGTGGATTAGTCAGAGTGAAGACACATGGAGAAACTGAAGTAGATGAGCCAGAGGCATATGGCATACCAGGGATGAAGGCTAGATTAAGGGAAAGGTTGAAGGATTTTGCTCTAAGGGATATATACAATTGCGATGAGCTTGCCCTGCAGTAAGTATTGTATACTAAGTAGTTCTTCAATAATAAGAAATATAGGGATTGTAAAACTAAAATATAAATTGCTAGATAGAACATGCAACCAGATTCAACTATCACATGAAAAAAACAAACTGGTCAGAAGAGCCAAAGATAATAAAACTTGAGTCACGGTATTTGTTACAGTCAATTCAGATGGATCTGATAAACAGCAAGCCTGGTTAATCAATAAATCCAAAACTTCCATTGTCTTTCAAAAGGCAACGATCAATTGAGACAATTTGCCTATTGTATACAAATCCAATAAGAAGCCCTGGATGCTATCAGGTATCTGGTATGCATTTTTAGGAAAGCTCAATGAGGATATGAAGGCTCAAGGTCAACATATTGCTCTGATAACTGATAATGCGCCAATCAACCCACTTCCAGAAAAGCTACCAATTGAATATACAGGTCCTAAGCTACCGATATTAGACCGTGTTATCCTATTCTGCTTGCCTCCGAATACAACTGCTTTGTTACAGCCTCTCGATGCGGGAATTATTCGATACCTAAAGGCAAACTACCAATGATGATATGTTACTCATATTATGGACTTTTTTGAAACAACTGGGACAGCTGCTCCAAAGCTAGATGTGCTATAGGGCATTTATATGATAGCTGCAGCATGGGAGAAACTGCCTACTAGTGTTATTTTTCATTGCTGGCAGAAGTTGGGATTGGTAGAAGCTATTGACTGCAGTTTGCATGGCTTCCATACTGAGTATCTGGAAAAGATTTGGCAAGCAACCCAGATATCTATCAGCTCTCTTCTTAACTTCAGCTATAATAGTCAACAGGTGGAGCGACTTGCCAACTCATTCTTGGATTACAGGGAAGATGCCGCACACATTGATGCAAGTCCAGATACTATATCAATAAGCAATATTATACATGACCTGCAAAATTGGGATCACAGAAGCAGTAGTGACAGTGATCCCTCAACTAATCACAGCTCTAAAAACCATTTACCTGAAATGATCTTTATCCCTCTTCTGAAGGCACATAATAGCAACATTATTACCCTTCTTCAAAGGTTTCCTATAAATACACTTCCTGTCTCTAGATCCTTATTGCAGATACCTACAGTAATCTATCAGCTTTAGAAAATACAACAAGGCTTTCAGGAGCATGAAGTTAAGAACAAGAAACAAGTTAGCCTGGATGATTGGCTTCAACTTAGTTCTTTACAGCCAGCACGTGCTAGTACAATTTCTCCACAGTTAATCATGGGCCATCAAGCACTACTGATCTATCACCAATGCTGGAACCTCCTTCTCAACTGCTCTGCTTTTCCCCCATCGCCTCTGCTCTCATGCTAGACCCACCTCCTGATCATTCACAGAGTCTACTTGCAGCTGAGTCTCCTGGCCCTTAGTTTCAAGCCTGAACTTGAGGGCAATATCCATCAGAATAGATACTGCATATTGAGTAGAATCGTGATACTGTCTATTCTTAATTGGAGTACTTCCACTTGTCTATAAATGGAATAGTCTATAAATCTCACTCCTTTTGTTCCTTAAAGCCATTGAAATTTACATGTCTTTTGATCTTTATACCCCTGCATATTCACTATTCCCAGTTCACTATACAATAGGCGTTTTTTCCACTATAGCCAGCACAATATTTCTAGAAACCTGTTTTTCCTGTATGCCCA